GAACGTAATGTGCGCCATTCCATCAGATTTGTAAGGTAGATCATTTACAAACCTACGCTAACACAGGAGAATACATCAATATGTTCATGCAAACTGATCATCGCGATCTCAATATAAAAGTTTGCATGTTTTGATGTCCACATATTCTTGTTCAAGAAATTACAGTGGCTGTAACAATCTATTGTAAAGAAGTGGACAAATATTAAAGATTAAGTGAACATTTGAATTAAATGTTGGTTGGCCAATATTAAACAAGGATTTGATTAAACAAGTTTGAAATGCCCAGCAATAAATATGGTTAACCTAAACTCCCTCTATGTGATCATATACTATCAGCACTCTGTGGTTCCCTAGCTGCAGTTTATTCAGTGTTATCAGGCAAAATACTGACAGATAAACAGAGGCATTTTCCTCAATTCTGTTTGTTCCAGTCAAACATCAACAGAGCTCTCCTCACTTCACAGAAGAAACTGCACACAGAGCCAGACTTTACTATCTCTGTAATGATGTTTGGGAAACAAAACATGTCCCCATATCTCTGCTGTGCGCAGCATGAGTACTTCTTATCATTCATAACTAGTCAAGAAGGCACGTTTATATAACCCCTGCATTCTAACAGTTTAGACAACCCAACAAAGTTTTCTAGTAGGATGGGATATGATATTCATAGTTTAGACAAGAAAAGATTAAATGCTTTTCTTTTAAATGAAACTTATGTAATTTAGCTGTAAGCACTTTTTAGAAGTTATATTTTATATAAAATATTTTAATCAAAATCAAAAATGAAAACATGCTAACTTAAGTGTCAAAGTAGGTCTAAAAATAAACCATGGACATTATAGATCTACTGTAGTGATGTAATTTAAACAAAGTATCGATGAAAAGTTACTATGGCTCTAATACAGTAGGGAAAAACATTCTGGGTTTACCATATTTGATGTGCTCGATGTATGTGTGCTTATCAGCGTTAGGTGAATAAAAGTCTCAATTAAATATGTTCATCATAAAGCAATTATATCTCTCCAAAAGACCTGGATTAAACCGCTTGATTAATTTGGATTTAATTTACAATGTCTTTATGAACTTTTTGAAGCTACAAATTTTTGGATGAATGGACTTTGGAGGAACAGAAATCTCTTAGGTTTTATTACAAATATCATTTGAGGGTGAGTAAATCATGAATTCTAAAAAATAAATAGAAAAGTGGATGTCACAGATCTAGTAACGTCATTTAAACTCAATGAAAGTTTAAATGAAAAGTTGCTGGAAAAACACTCTGGGTTGTTTTCTTTACCAGGTGATTTGAAACGTGCTCTCCTCGTTAAACATTCCTCTCATGTCTCCAGCTCTCCACACACCAGGTGAGACTCGGGTCGGGCCGACAATATCCAGACACACAGGGCCATGCTAGCGCGCACTCACACACACACGTTAATGATGACTGTATTTAATAGTCCACACCCACTCGCTTCATGGCAACAGAGAAGTTAAACCATATAGACTACAATGTTTGTCAGTTTCCTCAAGAGTAAACTCACACCCTTGACGTAATGTTAACCAACTTATTCTAAAAACCAGTTGCTCATGCCATGAATCCATGGCTTGAAAATCCTAATTTTCTTCCAGGTTTTAGGATGACAGACTTTGACTACAAAGTCAAAAATTGACACGAAAAACAATTATTGTATGCAATATGCAATGTATATAGTCAGAAAGTGGATGCCCCTTTTCACTCCTAAAAGGTTTATTTACTTTTAAAAAATTGAACGGTGAAAAATGTTTTTTTAAGTAAAGTATATACACAAGCGTTTCCGTGGAGAGATGTGAAAAAATTGAGTTGGTAAGATTTTTATTATCAAAAGTGACCGTAAAAACATTTAATGTTACAAAAGATTGCCCTTTCAATAAATGTTGTTCTTCATCAAAGAATCCTGAAAAATTAGCCTGGGAAAACCCAGACAACTTCCGGCAAATTTAGAGTTACAACTGAGAATGGTCTGGTTTTAACCAGGCTACTGAAAAATATGACTGTTTCCACAAAAATATAAAGCAGCAGAACATTTTTCAACTGTGATAATAAGAAATGTTTCTTGAGCAGCAAATCATCATATTAAAATAATTTCTGAAGGATCATGTGACACTGAAGAATGGAGTAATGGCTGCTGATAATTCAGCTTTCCATTACAAGAATAAATTACATTTAAAAATATATTTAAAATATATATATTTTAATATAATAACATTTTACAATATTACTGTTTTTACTGACTTTATGATCAATTAAGGGGAACCTTAGTGAGTGGGAAACACATTTTCAAAATCTTACTGACCCCAAACTTTTGAACAGTAGTGCACTTGATTCAAAATTCAACATTAGACAAATTTTGCTGTTAAAAATACGTTTGTGTTGTTTAGTTGCATGCATCTTTATGTGAACAAGAATTTATACTGTCTATGGCCAGTCCTACATGACATGAGTGACTTTGTAACTGATCTGTTAATAAAAACTCAACAGCAGCAATTCAACTACTAAAGTTTTGCTTTCAGTTCAAACATCAAATAAAACTGGGTGTTGAAAATATCACATCACTCCATATCTGTTTGGTTGACCTCTGACTGAAGCAATCTGCGAATACATTGAGCAACTACAGGACACTGCTCCTCACAGTCAAATCAGTTCTTCTGATACGTATATAACCCCATTGCTCGGTATGACCATCTTATCAAGGAGCACATTTTTTAAAGTAAAAAAAACACACTCTCTCAAACACACTAGGTACCACTTAGCTACAGGGGGCCAGAAACACCTGAAAGCATTTAACACACACACACACATTCACTAATTGCTTTTAGCTCCGAGTGAATGAGACTGTTTGTGTGCAGTGTCGTACTGGGATTTGAGAGTTGACACTATGCAAGTCTGCTATAACTCTCAAAATATCCCCTTACAATAACACATTATCCCCATTGCAGTCACACACACACCTTAAAAAGCTTACACAACTAACGCATAGTGCCCCTCTTTCATAATGAGGTCACAGAGAATGATTGTGAAACACTCTCTTGCACCCCACACACTGTGATTATACAGCTGAGCCAGCAAATGATGAAGCTTCAGAATTCACAACAGCTTTCCTGTAGTCTAAGGTAATGATTTGGGCTGGTAATAAAAAGGTTAGAGGTTTAAACCTTGCAAGAAGTGATCCAGGTTTTTACTTTTTACAGCAGCATTGCTCCTGTCAGTTTGGATAAATGTGTCAGCTAAAACAATTCGGTTAAGTAGTATAGAAAAAAGACATGTAGATAAGAAAGATTATGGTTTCATGGGCCAAAGTCATGGGTTTGATTCCCAAACATGCACATACCGATAAAATGCATAGCTTGTTTGCACTATAAGTGGCTTTGAATAGTTGCCAAATGCATAAATGTAAATGTCATTGAAACACCTTTACTGGAAATTCAGGCTGAGGGAGCTGTAAATAATTAGTGGAAAAAGACTGTTACAGTAGTGTAATGTTTTCTTAGGAATAATCTAAGAAAGTTAATGAAGGGAATAAACCTTAAAGGCCCACTGAAGTGCCTTGAATCGTGCAGCATTGTTCAATGCGTTGAAGTAATTTCCACTGAAACAGGAAGACAGGGCGGGACATATCAAAGAGCTCCTCCCCCTTTAAAAAAAGCCAATAGTGTTTAGTTTATCGCAGCTCGGCCAGAGCCGTTGAGCTTGATAAAGCCAGTTTCCTTCTAACCTCTAACTGTTTCTTCTCCTGAAATACAGCATTCTGTGCAGAATTCAAATGGGTCCGATTTGTTTGGAGGTCTGCGCCGACTCGCGCATTTGACCCGCTCTGTGCTATCATGTCTCTGGACTGGAGCAGACTATGTGTGCGCTTTGGCGGTTCACGTGACACTAACGTGAAACCAGACTTCATTCGCCCCAATGGAAAGCAGAATTATACTGTCTGAATTGTTCCCCATCTCCTAAATAGTATATTATGCACCATGTAGAAAATAGTAAATGTGTGAACAAGTGACCAATTTTAGCCACAGCTTCAGTATCCTTTTTTAATGTAGGGGGCGGGACGCTTTCGATTCTAGAAAGCATTTGATTTGATCTGATGAGAAGCTAAAGTGCAACATGATGTCATCAAAATCATTGATCCATATTGGCGGAAGTGAGAGACTAAGTTTTGAATTCTTATATCTTCTACAAATTTTGTCGTTGTTTTGGACACGCTGGCTTATAAATAGCAGTAAGGCTAACATATTCATACTAAAAGACAAAAAACGTCCATTTTGATATCATGGCGACTTGGGGGGGGGGGGGGGGGGTGCCTCTGTCAGAGATTAGAAATAAAGAACAGCCACGAGAGCTACTAGAGGACACCCAGAGCTTTTAGGGTGTTTAAAAGGATAGTTCACCCAAAAATGAACATTCTGGCATAATTTACTAAAGGGGTAAGGGTGAGTAAATGATGGAATATCAAAATTGTGTTTTGTTGTTTTTAATCGATATAATGAAAATCATCATTGATGACAGAATGTTAATTTTTGGGTGAACCATCCCTTTAAGACATGACAGCTGTACCTATTTTCAGACAGAAAGGCACATTCACAAGACTAAGGTAATGAACAACTGAAAACATAAACTCTACCATATCATTTGTTAAACTTTCATTCCTGTTCTCTCTGATGTTTTAAACACAATGCAAACACGGTTATGAGTGACACTGTCCATACAATGACCAGAATAGTTTCTCTCTCGTGGACATTCATACGCACAGGTAAAGTCTTTAGTAAAATGAGTCATTTGGCACCCAGACTAAGAAAGGGACAGATCCTGAAAGAACAAGGAATCAAGGAATGAAAGGGTAAAATTAATGTTTAAAGAGTTAAGTTAAAAAAGAAAGAAACAGGACATATAAACAGAAAAAAACAGAGAATAAGAGGGTGAGAGAAAGATTTATGGAATAAAATGAAAATTGTTCTGTCAGACTCACATAAAGTGGCACCTCTCCCCTGCTGAGCTCCATTATAGCAGCAGCACCTGAAAGGAGAAAGAACATGTATAATACACAGCAAAGACACACACACACACACATACACATACACACACACAAACGCCACCTTAAATCAAACACAGCTGTAGAAATAAGCACATATGAGCAGAACAGCCCCTCACATGTGAGTGCTGCACAAGAGACCAGTTCATCTATTCATCACAAAAACAAAACATGACATTTAACTGAACACTGGCACAGAGAAAGAGAATAAAGTACACAAGGAACAAAAAGGCCAAGAGAAGAGTATTTGAAATCACTTGCACTGTCCATTATGGCGAGTCATACACAATCCAGCAAATATGAAAAAGAAGGCCAATCACAATGATTTTATTTCGCTGACTCATTGAGTCACCTGACTTCTCTTTTAATTAGGCCAAATCCTCAGAGAAGGATGGGAACAAATACCTTGCCTTTTAATTGGGACATGTTCACATGGCTGTGCAGACAACAGAGGGCTTAATCTTTTGATCCTCCAAATGTCAGAACACCGCTTCAATCAAAACGCAGCCCTCTCTCTGTCTAGCTCGCTCTCAGCCCGAGCACTGCTGCCATGTTCTCGCTTGCAGTCAACAGGTTGGAGAGCTGAGCCTGATAGGCGATACGTCAACGTGCTTTAACTAAAATTGGTGAAATTGTTCTTTTATCCATTGAGTAACCTGTGAACATGTTAAAATCTTTACTTTAATTTTTTATATTTTAAAAATCTCTTTAGAGCATTTTTAGCGCTGCAGTGATGATGCAATTCATGAGCCAAGCTAAAGGCTTTAAATGGCTATAAATATAGGCTATAAATGAACTACACCATGGTCACATGACTTCAAATATTAGTTTCATTCAATCTTGATTTAAAAATCTGAGTTAGAATAATTTGCAAAGTTTGAGTTTCATGATACCGATAATATCACAATACAGTAATTCTGCGATAATCAATATATTGCTAGACAATCATTTAATGATACATCATGATATCTGTCTAACTATGAAAAAAAAATGCCCGTGAAAGGGTTAAGAAGTGCAGGTTCAAGTCTAAACTGTTAGAAAACAGCACAAAAAGTTTCAGTCTGTAAATTAAATTGAACATTTTCAATGAGATCAGGGTGATGCCGTTGCAAGTGGCTTTGCATGTTTGTGGTATAACCTGTGCGCTTTACATTTACCAGGCAGTTCTTGTGAATCGCGTACTCTTTGTCGATTTTGTTTGTCCCATCAATGGTATAAAAGCCGAAGTGGGTCCAGACTTTGGACTTCTTTCTTAGGCTAGTTAACTTATGTTCACGTTTCCCTCATTCAGGTGTTGAGTGCCACCTCGAGGAGCCACGGAAACGCTAGGAGCAGGGAAATCTATTTAGAGCACCTTGTTGTATTAATTAAAATATCAATATTTGGCACCAGCGCATCGATTCTTGTATCACACAGAGAAGTACAACGATATATTGCCCTATCGATATTTTGTCCCACCCAGAGCTAACAACAGACCTTATTTCAAGCATTTAAAAACTCGCTCAAAAATCCCAGTGACTTTGTAAAGATGGAACTGGAAGTTCAAAAATACCCTTTTCCAGGTTTTAGGACTCATGTGTTTCTATGCACAGATGTAGTTCTAAAGAACTACTAAATAAAAAACAAAACAAAAAGATTGTTAATGACAATGTTCCTCTAATAGCATCAGGCTACCAAGTTTCTACCAGTTAATGGTAGGGTTTTTGTTTGGTCAAGGTCACAATGTTGTGTTTCAGACATTAGTTCTTTCTACATCACATAATTTGGTGCGAATCACAAAGGAAAGTGTATGTGTGAGACATTTAAAAACAAGATTCCTGTTTGTTGTTGTCACACAAACACTGGCGTAGTGGGTGACTTTTCATGGGACGATGGCGTCACATGTAACTCAATACAGCCTACAGATCCAATAACGCATACACACAAACACACTGCGAGACAGAAACCATGCATACTGCATAGTTAGACAGAGACCAACATCCCTGGTGAACGTATCCCAAATGTATGTTGTATATTTGTTCAATAATGAATGAGTACTTAAGGAAATCATAAGGCCAAGAGAGAAACAGAGATGGTTGTCCAATGGTTTTGCCTGAAGCTCAGAGACTCATCGACTCTGATCAACCTTTAGATAGAGACTGAGCTTCTGTTACACAATCCCAACCAGTCAGGCCTTAAACACTGTGAATGAATATCTTTTCTGTGTCTAAACAGCAATAATCCAACAGGTGCAAGTCCACTTTATGAAATTATACTTTATGAGGTCTTTGAGGCTTACCAGTTACTCACATGTGTTTTTCTTCCTTTTATTAGGAAAAACAATGATACCGTATTATCATGATATCTCTCTCTATAGCATGCACAGGCAGATTCAGTTTACCTGGAAGGCATTAAAGGTGTTTGGAGTGTTATCAGGGCTTTTATGGTATAATAGCCACAACCTAAGTATGATTTAAAGATCGACTTCACAGTACTAGCTAAACAGACCGTTTTAAAGCAAACACAGACACACACACAATAAATAGATTTCACGAAACTATCTACCTCTAAAAAATAAGAGACAAACCGAATGAACAAGACAGAGCAAAAGACAGCAGAGACAAAACACAAACAGAGCGAGAGAGAGAGAGAGCGAGAGAAAGAGAGAGAGGTGCCCTGAGTGACCCTTGTCTGCTTCAGTTTCTCTGGGTGAAATCAAGCTGACTTCACCCAGACGTGCTACTGCTCAGATTCCACCTGCAGTTTCCTGACACATGCCAGATGTCTTCTGTATCACTCTGTGTAACATTGAATCCATCACAATTACAACCTTTATCAGGTCAAAATGGTGGCAAAGAAAAATATGAGGTTTTCGAAATTTAAAGCTGCAGTCCGTAGCTTTTTTTGGGTTAAAAATTATCCAAAATACATATTTGAGAAAATACATAACCAGCCAATGTTCAAAACTATCTGCTTGCCTTAGCTCGATTCAAAGCGGTAAGCTTGTAATAATGTTTTTAATTCCAGTGGTACTGGTGGATTTCTGCGGGAGATTCGTGCTTGTCTTTGCGTCATTACGTCACATCTGTACACATAAAGAAGGAGTCTCGGCTAGTAGGCTATATTGCGTGAGGATGTTGCGTGAGGATGCAAAAGACTTCGTTTGGACTTCGGAGTGGCTACAGAAAAAAAGAGACTGCAACCGGACCCATGCGAAAACAAGGATAAATATCGGAAAGACATTACATGTAGTCACGCAATGCTTGCTTACGTTGTTAACATTAACAGTTTGTAGTATAATTTGCACAGTTTTGCATGATATGATAACGTATAAGCGATTGATAGATTTAATCAGCGCGATTTACTGCAATGTCAGAACCAGAACAAAAGTGGATGTTTCTTACTTGTTCAGATGACATTTTCCGGTGAAAATTCTTATGTTGGTTATACTTCCAAAAAGAATAATCTGTGATTCTGAATGACAGTATCGACACCGGCGCGGTGACTGACAGCCTCACAGTCTCCTCAAACATTGTGTTCATCCGTGTTGTACCGTGCCGAGGGTGTTGAAGTACAACTCACATAAAGTTGATAATTCCGCGAATGACTGCAATTGCAGATTTCAAACAGAGATAACGACAAAGAGGAAAAACGCCAGACTGCAGCTTTAACTAAAGTGGTGACGGAGTGAAAAGTTCGCAGAAACTTTTAAAAGTTTGGTTCCCAGTGCCAATGAATGTATCAGTGAGTGCATTTTAGATCTGACTTTTCAAGTTCAGAACAGTGTTGTTATCTTTAACTAAAAATGTTTGTTTTTTCAACTAAAATAAAGCTATATAGAAATACTTTTTTTAAAACTAATAAAAATGACAAAATCACATAAAAAAATGACTAAAACTTAGACTAAAATTAAACTGAAAATATAAAAAAGCTATTTCAAAGTATCAATAAGTTTTAAGAATATTTACCTCGGTTTCACAGACGAGGCTTTAGTCAAGTCCTAGACTAAAATGCATGTTTGAGCTGTTTTAACTGAATGCATCTTGCAAAGACATATTTTAAAATACGTATGTGCCATTGTTTTGTCTCAAGATGCACACTAGTAATGTTTTTTTTCCAAGGCACGTTTATAAAAGCTACTTAACTGCCCTAATTGTACTAAGGCCAAATCCTGGCTTAATCTAAGCCCTGTCTGTGAAACCGGGCCTTAATGTAAGTGCTTTTACAAAACTGCAAATTTAACATTTATGCTTTTAAATCCTTCCCAAAATCCCAAGATGTCCAATTCACTTTCATTGTAAGTTCCGCACCATAACCTCGATTTATATGAAAATTCCAGGTGAAATTATTTATGGTAATCAACATTATGCCACACAAACACTATTTGATTGAACTTAACTTGTCTTCAACTGGAAAATTCATGTAAAATTAGATTTTCTGTTAAACAGCCTAAAATGTGACTAGACTAACATTAGTCTTGTGGGATATTCGCTAGCTACCCTGTAGGCCCGTGAAGCATTCTTTTGTTGCCCCTGTTTGCTCAGTATTCAACAGAGCAAAGAAGAGTTGACAAAGACTGATCAGCTCATCAGACAAAGACTGATGAGGAGCGCACTTCAAAGTGCCTTTCATGCCAGACCCTCCTATTTCTCTTTCTCTGGCCTGAAAGTGAGGGCTGGGACTCTCTCAGGCCATGCCATTCATGCAGGATACAACAGGGGAAGGAGGAAGTCAAAATCACTCCTCCTGATTACCAGGACACAATGCCCTTGTCCCCTTTTCTCTCTACGTCCACCAATTTGGCTCTGATACATCCACTAGCCTCAAGGAGATTTCTGTAAACATAATAATGGCTGCAACCCCAACATTGTACAATCAAGTGCTTAAAGCACTTTTGTCACAGCTCTGCTTGCTACACGGCCACAACACTCGGGGTCACAATTTATGTTAGTATATTCCACCTACTAATTCACATTTAACGCTGCCAAAGGTTAGGGCAAGAGATACAAGTAGGGTTTGGGTTAGAGCACTGCAGGGCTCCAAATAAAAACAGGATATGAATATTGCATGTAAATCTCACAAGATGTTTCGCAGAACAAGGGTTACCATCTAGTTAGTTACCCACTGCCTCCCTTGATCTCCCAATAGTTTCCACGGTTATGAGATTGCATTTTTTTTTAGTAAAATGTTACTTAAAAAACTACTGAGACTCCTTGGTTAAAAAAAGTGTTAGCTCAACCTTTCACAAACATCTTTGTGTGGACACGAACAGATAAATTTGTCTCTAATTATGGTGGATATTTGATTATTTACATGAAATTAATACATGATACAGACATATACCAGTTGTCTAATTAATATTTCTAAATCAGTATATTGGCAGTCTATCAGATAATTTACATGACGTTTCAATAATCATAATATAACACCAGAACATTTTGTGCATGTAAACAGTCATTGCTACTGCTATTGTCATTAATTGTAGTATGAATAGCAAACACACAGTGTTGCCTAAAAATGTTCATAAAAAAAAACTACACTATAAAACAAGTACAATTGAAAACTTAAAGTTACAACCTGTGGTGAAAAATTCATAGCACCTTTTCCCACCACTTTAAATAAACTAGAGTAGAAATAGCAGAAATTGTTGTGACAGGTTAAATGGATGTTTACAAGATGTTAACTTATAATGCTGAAAACATTTTACAGTGCGCTCTAGTTCCCAGTCAACTGACTACAAACAATGACAGCTTTCACTGGCGCTTCTTTTTTCGGACAAAACTTCACACCAAAACGTTTAGCCTACATCAATATTCGAAGGCAAAAAAGAAGATCCGTTTTTAAAGCCGCGGGAAAACGACTTCCATGCACTTTAATGTAAACGCGTCCGCACCTGTAACTTACTACAACACATGCGAGAAGTCTTACCTCACTCCATACGTGTGTATTCTCTTCAACTGCACAAGGTAACGCTTTCAACCTGCTTCTACAAAATATCGTGACTGACTCACGGCCGGTACATCCGTGTGCGTGACTTGCACTTGTACACTGCCGAATGTTTTGAATGGACACAGGGGTTGTGGATGCGCCACCGGTGCTCACTCTCTTCAACACCCGCCGTGTGTGATGATGGCCCTGCCCACCAAATAGCACATTAACTAATCCTACTACGACGAGGAGTTGGCTCATGAATATTAAGTAGAACACTGACTGGACCCTGCTGAAATGTAACCAAGCAACGTCAGTATAAAGAGATAACCCTTCATCATAGTAGGACTCTTACATTCAAATAGGAACGCGAGAAAATTGCAGGACACTCACATGTTTAGGGACCATACATTGTCTCAGGCTGGTTTACCTAAGCTTGTTTTATCCAATCCTTACTTGTAATTATCATATTTAGGCATGTTACAATCACATTTTGTATAATTATAGTAGGCTACAAACTAAATTTATGTATTAAGCTTTGTATGTCATTATTATTCATGAATAAACATGTATAAATGTGCTAATAGTATAAATAATAATGTTTTTAAAAGTATGCTCCTTGTCCTTATGTTTTGGCAATTACATGGCATATGATATATGTATTTGTAATGCCTTTTAAAACACAAAATATAAAAATTGGTGAAGCAAAAAGGTGTCACACATCAGATAGTAGGTAAAGAACATTTAGATTATTATTGTTTCCTTCTATTACATGCTGTTTTTAGGACCAAGCCATGTGATGGAGACCACAGCTGAAAGTAACCTCTTTGTTTTTAGCCAGATATGATCCATGTTAAATAACAAAAATCCTGTTAACACACTTGTGAAATAGGATATACAACCATATCACACGTAAATCCTAAATCATCTAACACCTACTCTGCCTGGTTGGTATAGATTTTTTTTTTTTTTAAAGACACGTCAAGAAGCATCACTCCTAAAGTCAGAGGATTGGTTTACCTAAAGTGCCCCTGGCAATTGAACAGGAAATGGAGAGTAAGTCAATCAGTGTGCCCACCCTTCCTGTCTGTTCTTCAACAGGCTGGACTGAGTCCAAGGATCACAGACAGAATTTTACCGAAAACCCCAGCGGAGGTTAAGAGTCTGTGCAACTATTTACAAGTAGACTACCACCTAGTGGTCGATCAGTGACAAGCTGGAAGAAGATGTTAAATGATCCTGCAAATAGAAGCAATATAGTGAGATACAGTAACACTTTACAATAAGGTCTCATTTGTTAACATTAGTTAATGTAGACCTATTAAAGGTACAATATGTAAGAATTGTGTATCAAAATATCCAAAAACCACTTGCACAGTGTTATATATTTATTTCAATTGTGTACTTACATTATCCTAAATGTTTCCAAGAATTTGTAAATTCAGAGAAATTCACAATTTTAAATAGTGCCCTTGTCACTTGATGACCTGTCAATTATGTAATCTCCGCGTTATACCTTGTTTCCGCTTGTACTGCCATAGTAACCATGGCGACAGACGTGGACAACTGCGTTACATCTAGCGGCACGCTGTTGTTTCGTTCAAACATTATGGACCATGGCAAGCTCCGCATTCGCGACAAACTTCGACTTGACAGAGCTCTTACATGTACTTTATTAGACAGGTTAGCACATGTACATAAAACTAATCAATGTAATATAGCTCAACGTTGATAGCTCAACGATAGCAACGTAATATAGCTCATCTAATGTTGATCTAGCTTACTGCTAGTCTCATACAGACAAACTAACACTTAGAATAACATTATAACTTTCAACTCACTCAAATGCAGTTTAGTATGATATAGACCAAGTGAAACAGCGCTGCGTTACCTCACAATTTTAATTTGTTACATAAACTGACCAGTTTCAGTATTATTTCAGCACTTGGGGGTAGTTTGGTAGAATGAAATGTCCTCATTCCTTTATATCCGCGGGACTCGAATATGTCTCATTAGGAATCGCGACCTGCTTCATACCACAGTCATGTTAAAAAACATGAATGTATTCACTCATCCATAAACATTATATCCCATTTACATTATTAGATTCATCGGCATGACAACAAGTTCCATGATTCCGCTTATTCACTGCATCATCAATCTACGCCTTTGTTATTGTAAGAGATTAGCGACCCCTATAGCGGTGAAAAAAATTACATATTGTAGCTTTAAGTAAAAATTGGTCTTTACAACTTTTACTTGTAACGGAGTAATATTTGACCATAAATAAGTAAAAAAACAGGTGGACACTGCGGTGCTCCCTAATGTTTATTAAAAAGCCTTCAAATGTGTATGCTTTAAATAAATAAGTAAAAGGAGGACAATTGTGTCTGTCCGAAGCGTTCATTTTTCTGCTTCTCTGTGAACCACTGGTTGATTTCTGTGACAATAACAATTGTTAGGCTATTTGATTCTCATTCAATGCCGTGATTTTTTCAAGGCAAACAAAAAGACAGAATAAAATAACAAAAAAGTAATTTGTCATAGAAAATGTCAGCCTATTTGTTGTAGGCCTACTGAAAATTGTTTTGATTTATTTTAAAAACAGATTGCTCCAGTTATTAAAGTCCCCCTGCGGTGAAAATCAAGCTATAATGTTGTTTATGTCTATGTGGTGTTTTTAATATGCTTTCAGACATGTCAAAACCATTGCTAAGTATTTCTCCTTAAAACTGCAGTGAACAAAAGACAGTCTCAAAAACACGGTTTGAAATCGCTGGTGTTTCTGACGTCACAAACTACATTGTAACCAATCATGTCAACATGTGATCCTCAACGAGTGGATCTCGCCGGTTTCAGACTGCACGCGTTAGCAGAGCGGAGGCAGCGCAGAAGCAGTGCGTATGGTGAGCGGGAGCAACAAACGCCCTTTTGCTTTCACACTGGCGGCGTTTGTCGCACGCAGCTGAACCGCGGCTTGTGTACAGGCTTTTGAGGTTGTGATCAGCCTACTTTGACAGATTTTGTATATTTTTTGAATAAATAAATATTGATAGGTAATTGATACCTGAATTATATTTATTATTATCTGCATATTTATTACCTAGCCTACATATTAGCACATATCTCCATGAAAAGCGTTCTGCAAAAGACTTTACGAAATCGTTTAGATTGTTGAAATATCTGATACATATAATTTACATATCTAATTTACAGTTTACAAACATTACTTATCATAAACATCTTAAAGATAATTCATCTAAATCAAGGAGCATCTCGATAGTTAAAGGAAAGGTAGTAGATAAAACATTCTTCATTAATGGTGAGGCAATACCAACAGTTTCTGAGAAGCCAGTGAAGAGTCTTGGGAGATGGTACGATGGGGATCTAAAGGACACAGTTCGGGTGGGAGAAGTTAGACGACAAGCAGTGGAAGGGTTGAAGAGCATAAACAGCTGTGCTCTACCTGGCAAACTAAAATTCTGGTGCTTTCAGTTTGGTCTACTGCCGAGGTTGCTGTGGCCACTGACCGTGTACGACGTTTCTTTGACAACAGTGGTTCATACATCAGGAAATGGTTGGGAGTTCCACGCTGCCTCAGCAGAGTGGGACTTTATAGTAAAGGAATATTGCAGCTGCCAGTCTCTGCTTTAACCGAGGAGTTTAAGTGTGCCAAGGTCAGACTGGAAATGACCTTAGTAGAGTCACGCGACAAATGTGTAAGGGAGGCAGCCCCTGTGTTAAAAACTGGTAGAAAGTGGTCAGCAAAGAAATCTGTAGTAGAGGCAAAGGCTGCCCTTCAAATTGGGGATATCGTGGGACAGGTACAGCATGGAAGAGGGGGTTTTGGGCTCAGTTTAGCTCCTCCTAAATGGCACAAGGCAGGCCCAGCTCAAAGGAGGAAGCTGGTAGTCAACGAGGTGCGAAAGCAGGAGGAGAGGATGAGGTGTATAAAGGCCATTTCCCAGGCCAAGCAGGGAGAGTGAATGAGATGGGAGAGTGTGGAACAACGTAAGATGGGCTGGCAAGACCTTTGGTCAATGGAAGAGAGTAGGATCAGTTTCCTTATTAGGTCAACATATGATGTTCTCCCATCACCGCAGAACCTAAACCTCTGGGTAGGAGAGGATCCCTCTTGTCCTTTGTGTTCATCACCTGCCACATTAAGGCACATTTTGACAGGATGTAAGGTGGCTCTTAGCCAAGGTCGGTTTACTTGGCGCCATGACCAAGTACTGCGATGTTTGGCTTTAGCATTAGAAGGCAAGTGTAACATGGCCAATAAGTTGCCACCTGTTCTAGCAAGACATTACACGCAGAAGACAATATTCCTCCGCCCAGGCGAGCAACCACCAAGAAAAGGTGTTAACACCAATTCTCGCCCAGGACAACTGGAAGCTGCTAGGGACTGGAAGATGCTGGCTGATCTTGATCAACGGCTTATTTTTCCACCTGAGATTGCCACCACTAACCTACGACCAGATATTGTTTTGTGGTCTGGATCAGCACGCATTGTTCAACTGATAGAGTTAACAGTGCCATGGGAGGATGCGGTAGATGAGGCATATGAGAGGAAGAAACTGCGGTATGCTCATCTGGCCACTGAAGCAGAAAAGCGAGGATGGAGAGTCCAGGTTTATCCAGTGGAAGTGGGTTGCCGAGGTTTTGTGGCACACTCTACAACCCGGTTCCTCAGAGACATCGGATTCAGCGGCCAAGAGTTGCGTCGCACAGTAAAGAACTTATCTGAAGCAGCAGAAAGGAGCAGCAACTGGCTGTGGTTGAGACGGAAAGATTCTAGCTGGCTGTGTGCAGGCCGCCACGCTAGGGTTTTGTAGAATTCTTGAAAACTTGAAGAGTATGTTGGTTTATTTGTATACGTTCCTGTGGATATTGCGTGAATGATGGGTGGTTGGGCAGATATTGTGTTTTGCGGTAGGTGGTAAGCCATACGGAACCGTTGTCCACTGAAACTGCATATTAACGCACCAGTGGGGCTCGACAGCCTTAGTCAAACGGGTTGGCGCGTATGGTCGGGTTGCGGAGAGATTGTGAGATTGTGGTTAGGTCTCAGCAGCAGGAGGGATGTAGAGGTCAGTAAGCTGGACTGAGTTGAGTGGGGGACGGAGGGGGGTGACTCTGGGACGCCAGAGTCACTGTCGAATCACTTGAATCACTGTCGAAT